TGTTTTTTTATTTTCTTGTGAATGTGAACTTAGAATGCAAATGTGTGATCTCGGCGGCACACAAACAAATGTGTCATCTTGCCTTCTTTCTCCTTTCTCGTCGTTGCAATTTTCTTCTAATTTTTTTGTTATTTTGGTGTGCATGTAGTAAGTAACTTGGTGTTATAATACGTGTGTTGCAGGCATGCGGTGGATGGTAGACTGGTCGTGAATTTGGCAAAGTTGGTCCTTCTTTCGACTTCCATCTCACCGACTTGTACTGACGCATGCGTACACGGGTAAGTTTTCATACTTTTTCAATCTTCGAGTACCGATTTTCCCTTGCAAAGCAATGAATCATCTACCAGGCTGTTGCTTCTCCCTATAGGAGTTCATGATATGGTTGAGTTGCCACAAACGTCAGGTAGGTGAGTGCGTATGTGTAATTGCTGGTTCATTCATTAATGACGGTAGACGAAGTACAAGCTGCATTACGACATCGTTCTCAGATCCAGAAATACAGTGAAAGGGAAAGTGATGGTCTGACAGTGTGATGGTTGACATGTTTCGGTTAACAAGAGGTGATTGATGTTTTACCCCAAATAAAACGAACAAGAAACCGCCAAAAAAAAACTAACGGAATTCGAGCACCGCAAAATTACGCATATGTCAAATTAACGCTGGAGAATATCTTAAAAAATATTGTATGAAGCAAAAATCATTATTATTGAATCGCCAACAGGCCGGTTGCTGCCTGTGGTCGGTTTCGGTTGCCACATCCACCTCTTCGTTCTCCGTCGAGTGGGCCCATTTGACCTCGTTCAACCAGGTCGCAAGTTTCTCAACATCCGTTGAGACAGGACCAATATATGACGGGCGAATGGTGAAATTATAGGATTATATCGTAGTGGTCGGCAGGTGCGCCGTTCTCTTTTGCACAACCTTTCGCTTGCACGTCAAAAGACAGCGCGCCTGCCGACCCGCGATCCTTGCAAAGGGAAGTGGGTCCATTAACACTCAACTTCCAGGTTGCAACTGAGTCACCATCCGCTGAGCCATAACCAATATATGACGGGAGAAAGGTGCAGTAAATAGGATTATATCATAGTGGTCGGAAGGTGCGCCGTTCTCTTTTGCACAACCTTTCGCTTGCACGTAAAAATACAGCGCACCTGCGGAGCAGGGTTCCTTGTAAAGGAAAGTGGACCCATTCGCCGTGAAATACCTCTTCGCAAGTGAGTCAGCGTTCGTATGAGACGGGACCAATCGAAGTTGTTCGAAAGGTGCAGTAGATAGGATTATATCGTTGTGGTCGGCAGGTGCGCCGTTCTCTTTTGCACAAGCTTTCGGTTGGATGTCAAAAGACAGTGCACCTGCCGACCCTGGTTCCTTGTAAAGGGAAGTGGACCCATTTCGCCGTCAACTACCTCTTCGCAGGTGAGTCAGCATTCGTTGAGATGGGACCTAGCGATGACGGGCGAAAGGTGCACTAAATAGGATTGCATCGTTGTGGTCGGCAGGTGCGCCGTTCTATTCTGCAAAACCTTCCCCTTGCACGTCAGAAGACAGCGCACCTACCGACCCGCGATACAGGCAAAGGGAAGCGGGTCCATTAACCCTCAACTACCAGGTGGCAAGCGAGTCGCCATCAGTTGAGCCATAACCAATATATGACGGTCCGGTGCGCAGTGACTAGGATTATATCGTAGTGGTCGGCAGGTGCGCCGTTCTCTTATGCACAACCTTTCGCTTGCACGTCAAAAGACAGCGCACCTGCCGACACGGGTTCCTTGTAAAGGGAAGTGGACCCATTCGCCGTCAACTACCTCTTCGCAGGTGAGTCAGCATTCATTGAGACGGGACCTAGCGATGACGGGCGAAAGGTGCAGTAAATAGGATTGCATCGTTGTGGTCGGCAGGTGCGCCGTTCTATTTTGCACAACCTTCCCCTTGCAAGTCAGAAGACAGCGCACCTGCCGACGCGGGTTCCTTACAAAGGGAAGTGGGTTCATTTGCCCTCAACTACCAGGTCGCAAGTGAGTCAGCATCCGTTGAGACAGGAGCAACCGATGACGGTCGAAAGGTGCAGTACATAGGATTCTATCGCTGTGGGCGGCAGGTGCGTCGTTCTCTTTTGCACAACCTTTCGCTCATTTAACCTCAACTACGACGTCCGATGCAAACCTTTGATCTATGTGTGCGTTCCCTTGTCAATGTGTCGCATGTGTTAAGGTTATTGTGAGTCTCTGGACCCGATGAGTGAGTACTTATTTGTTCGTCTGGAGGTAACCTCCTTCTATCATTTTGTAGAGATGATTTAACATTGTGCAGGAAGTAATAATGACTTATTTATTTTTGTCATGACGATCTCACAGAATGGAAATCCGACGAAGTTTCTTTCGTAGTCGATGACGACAACGACGGCGGTTAACATGTGATGCTGACGTAAGATCAGAGGAGCAGGACGTAGGTGTTCAAGGATACTCATTTTCGAGGTGCCACATTTGTCATGAATACGTTAGAGATGATGGATAGAAACGCACATTTGGGAAGTGCAGATGGGCATAACATATCGAGCGACAAAGCAACCGCCCAACAGGCAGCGAGCACAAGGGTAGATCCCAGTGTCCTCCCCCCTGTCCCACGGGCGAAAGTATTGGAGGCAATGGCCGGAGGAGAGGCTTACATCGAGAAGTGGTATGCGGAGGGGCTATTGTTGTCCGCTCTCTTGAATGAATCGAAAGATGATGTACGGGAATTGGAACATGAAGTCGTCAAAAAAACTAAACAACTTATGAAATGTAATTTAGAGATACAACGATTGAGAGAGGAGGAGAGCGCATCACACAAGAGAATAAAAATTCTAGAGGCGCGCCTTGCGGATGTAACGTTTCGACTGAAGGAAGTCGAATCACATTACACGTCAGAGCCACGAAACAGGAGGGTCCACAAACGCCAACACAACACATGTATGGAGACAAGGGTCGGAGATGGAGACGATTCGTGGGATGTCCAACCTTGTGTGCATATACACAAGTGCGTTCTTATGCAAGGTTGGGCCGAACATACAAGCCAGACACAAGTTTCGATTGACAAGGTTACGGGGGATGTACAAAATTTGTACTTCACAGAGGATTGTCTGCGACATTGTTCGAAGACTATGCATCATCATTACGAAAATGATACTGATCATCGTTCATCGTTGAGTGGTCGACATGTGAGCATGGGAAACATTCGTTCTCTGTTGTCGAGGTGCATAGATATTATGGATTCCACTTCGTATTTTCGCAGTAGGATTGAGTGTGGGGATTTCAAGTTGCACGATAGGCCGGAGACTTCAACAAATCACGAATGCAGACAAAAAAAAAACGCGAAAGGTCATGATAGAAACTCATATGTGTTGCATAGAGGAGTACATACGGATGTGGATATACGGTCCACATCCCCTGCGCACGCAATCTTCACATGCGAAGATTTCACACGCTTGACTTCATTACAGGAGCGCCATAATTTTCCATGCATTATGGCTCAAAAAGCACCTTCTTTCGACATGCCACACACTACGGTACTGATGACAACAGATGTTTTCGCAGCACATGTCGCTGCTGCAAATATGCGGGATGTCAAAAGACTTGTCATCGATATAATGTCTCACATGATATCTTTGATGAGAGAAGCAACCACAGTTGTCAGTGCTCGAGCCCAGAGGACGAGAGTGACGACCAACTGCTGTCATTGTGAAAGTCTTGARCTGGCCCGAKAACAGTTGGRAAACATGTATAGAAAATGTCAKATTGTATGTCAACGACTTTTKAAAGAGTCTAGTATCTAAATCCTATTTGTTTGTTTGAAAATGTGTTTTACCGGCGAGGAGGTGCATACATCTGTGTTTGACAATATGTGTGTATGTGAGCATTCTATAATTTCATGTAAGTTGCGATTCTGGATCGTGTAGATGACATCCCTTCCACAGATGGATTCCGGAGGTGGAGAAACAATGTATGTTGCTACCGAAGATCTTGTTCGTGGCATGGCAGACATTGGGGAAGGAGAGACAGAAAGAGGGCAGTGTGAAACACACAACGAAGAGGTGTTTCATGCTCACAACAATGAGGATGACGATATGGATGGAGGTCGGCGTGGTCATGGCAAAAAAACAACGAGGGAGGATCATGTTAATAATGGAGGGGAATGCGAGTGTCATGTCGACGACAAATGTGTGACATTGACTGAGGATGGTCAGTTTTTTGCGTACGGATTGTTTCGCGGAAAGCATTGCTTTGCTGTGAATTGCAATGACACATGGATCTCTGTGGAGGCACCACATCATCAGGTATAGGATCATTTCACTCTGGCAATTATAGAGGAACGAGTGTCAAGGCTGAATCCATTTGTTTCCAGAGATGCCCTCACACTTCATTCCTTCACCATCCACGAACTTTTGAAGGACAGAAAAGAACTACAATTGAATGACTTTTTGTACGACAACATGGAGTATCCAGTTCCGTGGGTTGTCAGTGATGGAGATATGAGACCAGAGACTTGCTCTCACGATGATCCCAGGAGAGACCCTCGTTGGGGGTGGGTGCCGCTCACGATCCCCGCAACAACTAGTGTTGTGCGAGTGAGGCGGCAAGACATGATGGGGAACTGGTGGCTTGTCCAGTATGTGAATGAAAAATTCACTGTTCGGACTTTTGACTGTGAGAGGGGGGTGAAAAATGAGAATAGCGTGGATAGTAGCGTTCCTATCAACAATCCTGTTGCACTCGAGTTTTCAGATGGCCATACATTTTATGCGGAGGTGAATGTGTGTCTCACAGACAAGCAGGGCACGATGGAAAGGTGCACTGATGTGTGGGAGGATATATGGAATCCATATATCCACAAAGAAGAAAACATATGTCGGTATGATATGACTCACACATTGGTGACGACACCTGATTCAGCGATGTGTGCAGCCTCAAACCAGGTGGGGTATCTTGTGAATTGGATTGGCAATGTGTTGCAACCGGGATATTGGCAAGGGAAATTGTCGATGGCAGCAAAAGTTCCTTCAGGCCACTGGCTGCCTTTGGGGTTCATGAAGAAGGGACTTGTATCTCATTGGCAATTCATGGTTGTGCTTGCCAGGGTATCGTTGTGCAATCCTGACATACTGGATAAGAAGGTATTGCACGATCATGCACAACAGATATGGCGGTCTATCGACGAGGATGACAGACAGATGATCGTTTGTGGACATGATTCCACAGCAAAGAGAGGAATGTGGCTTGTCGGTGCGGGTGATGATGGTGAGGATGACAGCGACAAGGATGTCACATTTCGATTTTTGGATGATCTGCATGAGCGTTTCCATTCTTTAGCTCTTGTGGGATGGGTTCCGGTCATTTGGAAAGAGGAACATATAGATAACAGTCCTGTGCATGTTACTTTTAAGGATCCATTGGGAGTTCCTTTCGACCTGGTTTATGAAGGGGGTTTATTGCGTCATTGTATGTTGAGTGGAGGCGAGGCAAGAGACCATGCAGTTTCTGCAGAGCAAGAGGACGCAGAGCAGGAAGTTGGTGGTGGGTCAGAGTATGAGGACGACACACCAGGTGTGCCAGAGAGAGAGAGAGAGAGAGAGAGAGAGAGAGAGAGAGAGAGAGAGAGAGAGAGAGAGATGACGATCCGTTGATGAGCGAGCAGTCTCCACTCGAGGCAATTCGACAGTTGAAGAAGAAAGAACATGCAAGGAATGATAATGTCAGCGAGAAGGCTGCTGAGGTCAACCATGCAGGGGAACAGAGGGCGAAGAGGAAAGAGAGTGCAGGTGAGAACGTGTCAAAGAGGAAAGGGAGGAAAGAGAAAGGAAACGTTGATGGAGGGACTGCAAGGTGTTGGAAGTTCAGGCCAGGGACAGTTGCACTTCGAGATATTCGCAAAATGCAGAAGTCAACTGAAAGACTGATTCCTTTTGCTCCATTCACACGGTTCGTCAGGGAAATACTGGAATATGACAAATGGAGGACAGGATGGGGAGAAGAAACTAGTCATCTGTCAGGGCCAACAAGAATATCACTTCTTGCTCTCAAGGCGTTGCAAGAGGAAGCCGAGGCCTACATCGTGCACGTGTTGAATATGACAAACCAGGTTGCTATCCATTCGAAGAGAGTGACTATCATGAAGAGGGATATCCAGTTGGTGATTGAATTGAAGAAGGGGACATGTGACTACGGCACAGGCAAGATCCCCCGTCAGAGAGAAAAGAAGGATGATCAAGTGCAGCAGAAAACAGAGGGTCCTGGACGAAACCAGATAGACAGCACGCAGATGGTCAAAGAGGACCCACCGCGGAAGAAAAATGTCCCAACATCGAAGAAAAAAGACCTCCAACAACGGAGAAAGGACTCATCAGCCGCCACAGGTCCTTCAAATGCGCCGGAGACGCCGCAGTTGCAGCCACGACAAACAAGAAAAAGAAAAGTTGTGGCTTCTAAAGCTGGAAACAGAAAAAAAACGAAGAACTGAACATTCTGATGCGGGGACAGTAGCCATAGTGATGGGGACATTGTGACAGACACTAACATGCAGACGGGCAGACGGACAAACAGACAAACAGACAAAGATTTTGCAGTGTGTTTATTTCCGTGTGTCGTACTGTCCTGCAGGGTCCATCAGAATGATCTAAAAAGACAACCAATCAAGCCCTGCGGTTGCAGGCTCAGGCTACCAGGAAGTTTAGAGGCCCGTGGGGGCCCACAGTGGGTGCAGCCCGTAGCTTGGTAAAGTGAGAACAGCAACCCTGATAGAAAATGTTTCCAGCATTTCTACAGTGCGGGAGGAGAGAGAGAGAGAGAGAGAGAGAGAGAGAGAGAGAGAGAGTACCACAGTTGTACAAATTCAATGTTTTTGTTTTACCTTGTTTTGGTTGTTTATTATGTTTACTTTTTTGCTCGTCTTATTTTGGTAGAATTAGTTGGAGTCTTCGGTTGTTTCTGAGTTGTGTGGTGATTGCACTCCGATGCTGAGCCAAATGTCTTTTGCATGTATGGGGGTGTGTGAGATGCTCGGTGTGAGAGAGAGAGAGAGAGAGAGGGAGAGAGAGAGAGAGAGAGACACTACCACACGGGGACACACACAGACAAACACAGTCAAACACAG